CTTTGCCTACAATGCAATTAGTTTTCAGCTGACTTCAGTATAAAACTTCTTTGCATCTCCACTTTTCTCTGGAGGAAAAAATATAATACTGGGCTATTCAACAAAAATATGCCACTTTTATGTCCAAAAAAGATCACGCAGATGTCTAAGTTTGTAGAAAAGTTTATTTTACGTGGCAAGAATTTAATACCTATACAATGAAATTCAAAGATTCTGAGAGCCTTTAGATGGATAAGGATGTTAACAGATTTTGTGACAGGACATAACCCAATTATTTCATTTTTCCAGGATGCAGTGGTATGTTTACTATGACTGCTATAAATGTCAGCCTTGTGGACTAAAACTCATTTTGTCCCATGATCCCCAGTCTCTCAAATAAGGAAATAAGATGCTTACTTAGGGATTAGTCTGTAACAGCCAAATCATGCGCCAAAGCAGTTACGTTTATCGAGTACATCCCAGTGCAGCCTCTGCCCAGAGCACTGAAACTGCTACGACTGGAGCTGCCCCGTCAGGCTGAACTCCCTACAGCGTTCCCGACAGTGCAAAGAAAAGTCAAGTCACGGTTGTGAATCTATTTTTAAGCTGTTACTCTCAAATCATCACCATCAAGTATCCCACTTATTTTTCCCTTTCTCATCAAACACCAGCTACCAGCGTTTTCACAGGAGCATCTCTACTGTTTATTCATCCCATAGTAGGCTTTTTTCTGTCTCCATCTCTTATCCAGCCTCGCCCTGTCCCATCAGTCATGCTAGTCACTACTGGCCAGTCATTTTAATATACAGGCAAGTTCACACCTGCATTTCTCTCATATAATGGATCCTCATAAAAGAAAGACAGAAGCCAATTTAGTATAAAGCTATGCAGGTAAGAGGACGCGTCACCCTCATTAGTAAACAACAGTCTCACAAAGATGTGCTATGAACCATTTCCACTGCTTGAGAGACAGTTCTCTATTTTCACTATGATTAAGCATCATTATTTTAACTGGTTGATTCTCCCAAAAGTATTCTCTTCTATCTAAGTACAGATGATGTATTCATAGAATCATAGAATAGTTTGGGTTGGAAGGGACCTTTAAAGGCCATCTAGTCCAACCCCCCTGCAATGAGCAGGGACATCTACAACTGGATCAGGTCCAACCTGACCTTGAAGGCTTCCAGGGATGGGGCATGTACCACCTCTCTGGGCAATCTGTCCCAGTGTTTCACCACCCTCATTGTAAAGAATTTCTTCCTTATATCCAGTCTGAATATACCCTCTTTTAGTTTAAAACCGTTACCCCTTGACCTATTGCTACAGGCCCTGCTAAAAAGTCTGTCCCCATCCTTCCTATGAGCCCCCTTTAAGTACTGAAAGGCCGCGATAAGGTCTCCCCAGAGCCTTCTCTTCTCCAGGCTGAACAACCCCAGCTCTCTCAGCCTTTCCTCACAGCAGAGGTGCTCCATCCCTCTGATCATTTTTGTGTCCCTCCTCTGGACCCGCTCCAACAGGTCCATGTCCTTCCTGTGCTGAGGACCCCAGAGCTGGATGCAGGGCTCCAGGGGGGTCTCACCAGAGCAGAGCAGAGGGGCAGAATCCCCTCCCTCGCCCTGCTGGCCACGCTGCTTTTGATGCAGCCCAGGATACGGTTGGCTTTCTGGGCTGCGAGCGCACATTGCTGGCTCATGTCCAGCTTTTCATCCCCCAGTACCCCCGAGTCCTTCTCCTCAGGGCTGCTCTCAATCCCTTCATCCCCCAGCCTGTACTGATACTGGGGATTGCCCCAACCCAAGTGCAGGACCCTGCACTTGGCCTTGTTGAACCCCATGAGGTTCACAGGGACCGACTTCTCAAGCTTGTCCAGATCCCTCTGGATGGCATCCCGTCCCTCAGGTGTATTCATTACAAAGTTAAATTTTAAAGAATAAATTAAAGTGTTTTCATGAAAAGTAAGCTCCCTTCTAGAAAAGCTGAGATTCAAGGATTTTACCCTGAACTTCAACAAGCAATCTTTATGGGCAAGTAACAAGAAATTTTGGAGTTGTAAACATACAGATTTTATATAGAAGGACTTTTCACTTTAACACAATGGATAGGGAAACAAATTTTTTAAATTCTTATGCACAAGACTGAAATGCAGAGTCATACCTTTTCATCCTTGGCAACCTGACCATGATTGTTTATGTTGGAGCTTAGAGCCAAGGAATGAATTTTACCATTTTCCTCACCCAGACACACAATTAGTAGTTCAGCAGCCTTTCCTTTCTAATTGATCTGTTCACATGACAAATGATGAACATCTCACTTGTCAGTGTCTTAAGCAGTAGTTTCAAGATCTGAAGTGTTTGACAGAGCTGCTGGAACATTTGAAATTTTACTACCTCACTTTCCTAATTAACACATGAGCTCCAGACAGCCAAGTTGACATTTTACAGTTAGGTAAAGGAAGTAACTACTCGTCTATTAAACACCAAGTTTGAAGATATAATGTCTTTTCTTAAAAGGCACTTGGAAACGAAATTGATGCTTTCGCACCATGGCCTGAAACTACAATTCATTGCACTCTCACCCAAGATAGTTAAAAAACTCAAAACAATTAAGACACAGCAGCACACACTTTCCTCACTCCGAAAGAACACAAATCTTTAACACTGCAAGCGTAATGCAAAAAGTGTTTCTCATCTGCCATTTCTTGCAAGAAGAGGTAGGTTAACAACTTACATAATGATACTAGTTTATAATGAAGATAATATTGTGGTTGCAAGCACAGAGACCTTTTTTACCTTTAAAATGTTGGAAGAGGAAGAAAAAGCCTCAGTAGTTAGTTTGAGAGAGCAAAACGTAACATGCCACATGCCCAAATCAGAGAAGAAATACTGTAGAGTGGGGAGATAAGGCTCTAAGAATTTAATATTTTGACCCAAAACAGAGTTGTCCCAACAACTTTAATGAGGCCAATTACTCACTCAAGCAGTGTCTAGATTCCCTGCACAAAGTCTTTCAGCTGATACTGACAGCAGATTAAACATTTAAATATTTAAATGTTTAAAATAAATATTTAAATGTTTAAGTGTAACTTACTTGGAGTATTCATCACTTTTGTTTCATGTTAAATTCTGTCATACCTTAACAGCATTTGTTTACATGACAGTAAGTCTAAAAAGGCCTACATTCGTAACGCTTAACAGCTTCTATAAGGCCAGAATGAAGTTTTACTTCCAAAATTAGTTCTCTCGTAGGCTCTGCATCTTAACTGCCAAAATCCATCAGTGTCTTTGGCCACAGTTGTAGAAATGCAACAATTTGAAAGCTCATCTGAAAACTTCCTATATGCATAACAAACACTCTTCAAAAGTGTATTTTTACAGCTCCCACAACCTACTAACTTGTAGCCACAAAAGGGAATTAAATATTGCATGGATAAACTACAATTTTTATTGTCTGTGCACAAACCTTTAGTTTCTACAGTCATACCACATTGGAAAAAGATCAAAACTCTGGAGACATCAGTTGATCAACAAAATCTAGATTTGCAAAAACACTTCTATTGTATTAAATGCTTGCATTCTTGAAATCTTTAAAAACCTGGGCTCATGTCTTAACTTGTACTAAAAATGAAGTTCATATTTGCACATATTTCAAATGTGTGGTTTATAACCGGTTGCTCTATTTTCACAGTGGTCATTAGAAACTATTCGCAAAAGACAAAAGAACAATATTTTAAGAATCTACTGTTGGAAACATTTGTGAAGGACCACAGTTTATAACTGGCACCTTCCTCTTTACAGAGCTCTTTACAGTTCTCTTTACAGTTTTCCTATTCTTTTAAATTCTGTTCTAGAACATACTTTTAAGAAAGTTCTTCTTTCCCACAGTGTTTTTTCTTAAACACAAAAATACATTGTAAACACAGAAATATATCTGAACAAGACTCAAAAAGTTGCATCCGTAAATAAAATTCTCTCAGAAACAAAGGAACATGAGTTAACATTCACATTACTTTCGCAATCTGAGATACTTTTTACTAGCTCTCATACTTACACTACCACAGCAACAGACCAAATCTTTCCTTAGACTTTTTTATACCGAAACAGAGGTCATGTAAACTAGACAGCAACAAAGAACCACAAGCAAGAAGCTTATACAGTCTGAATACCCCTAATTCAACTTTCATTCTCTGATGTTCATCATGCGAAAGCACAATATAGGACTGGTCATCAAATCCAACCATCCGTGACAGTGAAGGACCATGCACTTTGTCATCACCACAAACTACCTCTTAGCTGGTATATTTATTCCTCCTAATTCTAGGAGAGAATGACGCATGGATCTCACTTCTTTGGTGCAGAAAAAAAAAAAATAGCAAAAAACTTCCTTCTAATTTCTAGCCTAAGTTTATTCAAACTGATGGTGGAAATAGCACCAAACAAGAAATTTAACTCTTTAGATTTCCTTCTTACAGTTCATCAGCAATAAGCGATGCAACCCTTTACCATTCAGTACTTCAGAGTGACCTTCAGCACTATTTCATTGCTAACACATTCTATTTCATAGGCAGCATGCTTATCTAGTTAAAAAAAAAAAAAAAAAACAAACAACAATCCTTTGTTCATTTATTAAGTCACAAGGACTTTTGCTTTTCTTGGGGCAGGGGGGAAGCCAGTACTTGCCAAAACATACTCTAGTAATACAAAGCAGATGATCCTTTCATTTGCTTCAAATTACAAGTAACTTGTTTTCAATTAGCAACTGCATACAATTCCCAAACTCAGTTACATCATCTGGTTTGGTAGTTATCACATACGTCACTCACAAGACTAAAATGCTGACACACTCTAGTTTGAAAGGGCAACATGATGTAAGCACTCCAAAAAAAAGTTTTACAATAGCTATCAAACTTTATCCACAGTAAGTTGGCTGCATTATTTAACATCTATCAAACAGGAAGTTGCATGCATTTTATTATAGAATATTCTGGTTTTAAAGATTTGGTCAGGAAAGAGATTAAGCCTTACCTCTGGTTTACTGAGACTGGATGACACAAGAGAACCTGATCCCACATCCAGATCCCACTGTTTCCTCCCACTGTTTTCTGGATCCAGTGCAGCAATCCGTCCATCCAAAGTGCTGATGATTACTAGAGATCTGCAAGTTGGAAGCATTCACAATCAAAACTACAGCAGTACGGAGTTTATCTATTAGCTGTTTTCCATATTTAACACAGTGCAACTCCAACTTTAAAGTTGAAGTCTATACCTTCTGCAAAACAGCAATTTAACTTGGTAGTTCTACCTAGACCAACAAGAGAGAGTAGAAAAGTTAAAGCCTCTGGCTGGACGTCAAACTAATTTGCATGTTATAAGACACTTTCAGAGTTCAGTTTCAGGGGAAGAGAGTTGACTTTTGGCTCCCACATGCAGGTGTTACCACTACAACACTGAATGAGATCATCTTTTGAGGTGTTTATGTGAACAGTATAGATCCTATTTTTTCCAGTCCCTTCCACACTGATCTTTAATACGTCCTTTCAAAACAATCAAAACCTGAAACAATTTATCCAGCAAATCAGTACGTAAGAAATAGTAAGTCACAACTAAGTTTTCAATACCTCTGCATCAAATACCAAAATCCTGGAGATTTGACAAGTCTTAGAATAAAACGAGTCTCACCTAAGGCATACACAGGACACTAGAAACAACCTCCAGCATCTGCAGACAGCAAAGCAAGCAAACTGCCTTATGCAGCTTAGGCTTTAAGTAGCCTATCTGTCTGGGGATGCATGGTAACGGCAGGCTAGCTGTTGTTTTCTACAGCGCTTGAAGCTCATCAATTCTAGTAAATCTTGTTTCTTATACAGCAGTACAATTAGAATAAGCATTTCTGATTGGGCTAGAATTCAAGCATTAAAAAAAAAAAAAACACAAGCCAAAAAAAACCAAGCAACACATCAGAGACAAAACACTGACAAGGCATTTTTGAAGGGACTTTTTTTTCCTTTAAGATTGTTTCACTCTGACCTGAAAAAGCTGGGATGTGTTGGCAGTTTTGGCTTGCAACAGGCTCACCAAGCTTCAAAGGCTGCGGGAGTAGAGCTCTATCACTTTACAGACTGCCTGCACTGAGGGAGGCTGGATCTAGTGACCCAGAAGGACCTTTATAGACACTGGTTTCAATGAGAATAAGGAACTGTGCAAACAAACCTGATGGGCAGATTAACTATTTTTGGGTGGGGGTGAAAGGGCAGGGCGGAGGTAATGCACACACAGACATGTATACAAATCATTACTGTAAACAATGAGGAACACTAAATTATTGTGCAGAACTGAAGCCAAATATATTCACTTGTCCAAAGTTACCAGTGTGGTAAGCTGAAGTTTGGAGAGGAAATGATGGGGGCTATAGTTTTTCTTTAAAGAGGGAAAAACTAAAATCATGATCTTAAAAACATGTTCAAGGACAGTGGCTTGTTACATCACGTACAACAAAGGTCATGTAAAACATTGCAGTTTTACATGTAAAAATAACCCACACATTTTATAGGCCCTTATACTGTACTATAGCACTATATTGTTAATAAACAGAAAATTAAATAAGTCTTTTAACTGCACCAAACCCAACGTAGCAGCTCCTACTTCTGAAGGTGGCCAAGCATCACATTCCTCCAAAAGCTTAGTTTAAGAAACTGTTAGAAAAGTTATCAATTGTGCAAATATTTGAACAGTAGACTACATGAGTTTTTATAAGCCGAGTACATACAATTATTCCAACTGTACAGAAACCAATACCGGGTTAATAATAAACCAGATTGCAGGAGACTATCTATTCTCAAGCACCATAAACAAGTGCTTGCACATTAAAGGCCTTGGACACACATTTAACAGAATCTGTTTGCTTTACGGTAAAACAATTTATCTGAAACCCTCTAGCATTGCATAAAAATATTATTCCAAGTGGGTCTGTTTAAATTTTCTGTTGATCCAGCTGACAAATAGGTTATAAAAAAGGCAGAAATGTAGCTAGAACAGAGGGTATTTTGGCAGTAACACTGTAGAGAAGAAAAATCCTAAAATCGCACTGTGAAATGTTTCCTTCCCATCTACTCCCATTGTTTTCCTTTATCTAATTCTTCCCGCTTGACTTCTCCCTCAAGTAACAAGTGTTTTATGCCTTTGTATCTTACCTTTCCACATCATCTTTCCCCACCAGATGCAAACCACCACCTTCCCCAAGGGATATCTCATTATTTAAGCCTCGCCACCGCCACCTAAGAGGGCAGTTCTGGAATCTGTACCTGCATCATGATCTCCGGTCACCCAAATCCAAATCGTGGTGGGGGGGCGGGGGGGAAATCATGCCTTCAGAGGGAACCTTTGTACCAATAGCACACCTTAAGGAACTGGTTTAACCAACTGCTTCTGCATACCCTAAAAATCCTGACTTCCCTTGCGTGCAATGGTACTCTTTATTAGTCCCCTTGGCCACCAGCTCTATAATGGACTTTGCGTCACAAACTCCACCTGCTGAGCAAACACTTCCATGAGACATAGGAACAGGACGGGCTTAGCTATACCTAAATCTTGCATGCGGCTACCTTTAGAACTGGAACTAGGTGCAAGAAAAGCATTCCTTTCTCTTTGCTTTTTTAATGAACGACTCATTTTGAACTAAATGGTCATTCTTCTGGTCCCATCTTCATCTTGCTCTTCAACAGTAATCCTGGGTGTCAGAAAAAACCTGCTAAAAATCCTTACTCTTGTAATAAAATCCTTCGTTACTTACTATTTTTCTATAAATGAAAATCTTAATACCTGTTCTCCCCATCTCTGACTGCCTGCAGTAAGTTAAAAATCCTGTCACTTGAACTGTCATTGGTATAAGATCTGCAATTTATCTACATGTGCCCTAGACCCATGCTAACGTTACACTTTCTCGCTATCAGATTTTCCTTTTTTCACGTTTCCCCCCTTTCTGTGAGATTCCACTGCTTGCAGTTTTGCGTACTGAGAGTATGAAGTGGTGACAAGAGATCTTCCCATCTTTCAGCTAGTCTCATCAAGCACTAGATTAACACATTCTGATAAAAGCAATTTAGGTGACTACTTCAAGAAACTATTTCAGAGCTTAAGAACAGGCAGGCAGTTTGGTTTTTGTCACCCCGCAGTGCTATCGTAAGTTTACTGTAGCGTATTATGCCCAATTCTTACAGCAAATTCTTACAAACACCAGTAGAATACAGCTATGATTCAAGAATAAAGAGCGTCCTTTTAGCCATCTCTTTGCAAGCCTTTGCTGGCTGAAGAGGTTAGGACTGTACCTGCAATTCCACTACACTAAACTGAAATAGTGATATTCTGGATGCATCTTTGGGACACCTAATTGACAAGTTGCAAGGAAAAGGAACTCCCGCATTAGCTTCTATTTCGGTTAAGCCTGATAAACCCTGTTATTCTCTACAAAACGATACCTTATCACTGGCTCTATCAACACCACCTCCTGACTGGGGTAAAGCTTAAAGACTACCTTGACCAATAAAGCCAGCTTCCAACAACATACAAGTTTTCTAAGAACACTGCCAAACAAGACCTCAATTCTGCATACCATCCCACACAAAACACAAAATATTACCCAACTTAAGGTCAAAGGTAGAAAGGTCAAAAGTCACAACTATAATGCCAAGGAAGCGAGGAGGGGAGAGACAAACAGCATCAAGGCTGCAAATTCCTGAAATGGCAAGACGTTTGCTGAAAGTAAATCACGGACTACACTAGGGAGTGAATCACATCACACGCATACTAGAGAAGGGAAAAAAATACAACACACCAACACAAAACCAGAATTGCAGTAGTCTCCACAAGCCTGAACTAGAACAAAAAAAGATAGAGAAAGGAATCACTCCGAACTAGGCAATTACTTAAATCCCAGGATCCATCAACCAGGCACCTGAAAAACAAACGTCAGTAAAATGATGACGACACTTAACGTACTTCACCTTGCCTCTAGCTGCTGCTCCAGAACACATTATGAACCAAGTGATGGACGAAAAGAAAATCCCTTCTGGGCCCTTACAGATGGCCAGCAAAAGGACTAAAACAAGAGGCCAGTACAAGATAGTGTATACGAAGATATCTGTAATCACAGCAGCTGGCAGAGACTGAGCTAATACTATACAGTCAGATTTTATTTGTGCTTTGTCAATATGAAAACACATCTGGACATACTTCCCCCACCCCGACCATCTACAAACAGCCTCTACAGTTAAACGAAAACGTTTTCTTTTGCTCACAGACATGAGCTTGTTATTGAAGTGCAGTTATAATGTTCCCCCTTGAAACTATGCAAAATATCTACTACAAACTTCCATGTACATTGACAAAAGGCCAGTCCTGGGCCTTTAAACCATTGTTTATATCCCATCATGAACACAGCCCACTTCTTGAGATCAGGTGGCCTGAGCACAGCTCTGTGCTACTTTACAGAAGTGAAGGTATCCGATTTACCTATGAACAGAAGAAAAGGGCTAAGATTGCACGGGAAGATGTAAACAGGATAGAGGAGGAACACTTATTTAGCTCATCTACACCCTTTCATTGTGCAAAAACTTTGAATTTATTCAAATAAGTTGGTTTTGTTAGAAAAACAAAGCAGAACTTACCAAAATTTTGGTACAACATTTACCACTATTCCTGTTTCAGTTTGAAAAAAAAAAACAAACCCACACCCCAAATACCCTCAACCCTCAAAAGCCATTTGGGACATTGCAAATATGGCTGTCTTTCAAACTTGAACTCTAAACACCTATTGCAATTTCAAAATCTGCATGTTTGTATATAAAGAGCATGGTAATTCACTAACCCTCACATTTTCTTCTAGGAAATTAAAAAAATCCTCAAAGCCAAGATGATTATACTCATTTGCCTACAGCAAAAACAGTTGGCATTTGGGTTTTGGTTTTGTTGGTTTTTTTCAGATTATACTGACCTGTTAGATCACATGGATAATTTATGGCTGAAGAACAATTAGCTGAGGTAAGTAGAGACCTCACAAATAATACAGATGAAAAAAATAAGAAATGAAGGCAAATACTATGGCCAGGCAGCCATTGTATTTTTATTTGATGACAGCAAATCTATTCCTATGCACTAATC